ATCGTCCCCAGGAAATGTAGAATTGCTTCATGCGTCATTTGACATTTTCTCCCCCCCCCCCCTCTTCTTCTTCAATATGTACTGCATTGCTTCTTGCGAACAGACGGATCGGGAGCCTGGAACAGTAATTACCGCGTGGCCCGACGGAACCCGCTGTCGGAAATTTTTCGCACCCAAGTCCTCTTTGGTGGTACCTCACGGGTCATGATAATTACAGATCAGGAATTCTCGCGAATTTGCACCGAATGAAGGTGCGCTTACATTCGTTTAGCTCTTTGTACTGAAATTCCAATTAGTAAGCAAAGCACTATATTTCTGTGGATAATTTCATCCAAAATGCGCGCGATCCTATTTTTTGGGGTGCTTTAGATTAGAATATAGATCAAAAAGATTGAAACTTTTGGCCAGGATCTCACACTGAACAACTTAAAATCACAGGTACGCTGAGAAAGAAAATGAGGCAGTATGCTCAGCTTGAAAATCGAAGAATCTTGATTCCCCGTTCGCTTGTTCGGGATTTGATTCCGATGTATGATCCGCCGTGTAAAACTAACTTCATGCCTGTCGAATTCGGGCGAATTTTGGAGCATGAACTTTTGCAGCAAGAAATGTTTGGAGAGCTCGGGACTTATTTTATGAATGCAGTGGGACCTCAATTATGCTGGAGACTCACATAACGGATTGGGTTTTTTCGATTACTGTACAGTATTTACATTGACAAATTACGGACGATGCAAAAAGTTTGATTTGCAACGATCAGAGTTCAAGATTAATATTGTACAATAAATGCAGATATCAACAACGTTTCATTCAGAAGTTATTAGAAACATTTTCCGGAATCGTACGCCAATTTCTATAGCTGGTTAATCATCGAGGTTCCATTTTAGAAGATCATAGTTTCGGAAAAATAATTTATTTGGCCATTCAGTACTGCATGCATTTCGATCTACATTTAGACAATGTCTCAAATGTCGATTTTACGCCCAGAATGTTTTTCGAAAATCGATCGGAATTCATGAAACTGTAATTTGCAATCAATCACTGGAATGACGGAAGTCCAAATCTCAGGGGAAATGTCGATAAAAAGTGTCAGAACACGACAAGGATTTGATTTTTAAAGCGGAACTGATTTTAGGGAGGAAAGTAGATGAACACGAGCAAGTGTCCACCTCGTCCTCCGTGGAAGAAAGTTCTAGAAAAAAGTTGACTTGATTGAAATATTGTAGAGCAGAGATTCTCAAGATGCGCTCCCCGCAGCTCTTATTGTTCCTTGCGAACGTCGCAGTAAGCTCAAGACAAAGTATGAAAATGAGAACGAAATTGAATGCATCTTTAGTATTTGTATTGTATATTGATACTTATACGGTACATCCATTAATTCAGTAATTTTAACCGAGTGGTATCGACAAAGATTACGCAAGTATTCGCGCATTCGTTGTTCTGAAGATACGAAAGACAGATGCGGGATGTTCAAGCTTGGGCGGAAAACGAACGATCTACGGGTACCGTATGCAGTACAGTATACTATTTACGCAGTGTGCATCATTCGCGAAAGGAAATACAATACAGTATGTTTGAGAGTGCACGAATTTCGTTTCAGCAAGCCAAAGAAAATTAGCGCGAGATAGGCTCCTCCTCGGCCCGAAAAGTCTGAAGAATTCCGAACTAGAGAAGCCAGAAAAGTACAGGAGAATCTATCAACAGGTTTTCCGAGCAGGATATTAGTGCGACAACGTCAACACGCGGATAGGGGAGAGTCAGTCGGGAGTATTGGGACACAGAATGTCGTCAGGAAAGGACGCACTTAATGAATGACGCCGAGCAGACATGTTGGGAGAGGAACTGACATTCACGAGATCTTTGAAACGTTTATGTCCCGGACCTGCGGAGGATCGGACGCTGATCTCCCCGTATGCTGGCGTCGGCATGCACGACATGCGTATATTCCAGACACCAGTTCGTACAATGCGATTTCCCGATTCCCGGGGTCGAGGCTTGCCTCGTTCACGACGGTTCAAGCTCGAGGGTCTCCACGTGGATCCAATTTCCGACAGGACGAGATCGTTTCCTCGCGCGAGAGAGGACCAGGTTTTTCATCGCGAATACATTGCCCACACGTGTGGCGGGTGTCACCGCGGTGAATGTCGCAACCCAGGTTCAACACACTGCATGGAGCGCCTTCAAACTCCTCCTCGCTTGACACTGCTGAGCACCCTCGCACAAATGAGGAAGTCAGAAATCCCGCAAAGCTTGGTCCATCATTTGTGTTCATGTGTACCCAGCACAACATTTTCAAGAGCCTTGCAATCCAAATACAGTAATACTATATTCATTAAATTAAATACAGTATTGTGTCATAAACCGAGCCATGCACATGACGCGCTTCGGGCAATATGAGAAAAAATTACTCTGCAAATACTGTATATAGCTTCTTGTTGAGGCTTTTGGAATATTCTTTTTTCATGCGATTTTAATTTTAGCATTCGGTTAAAAAGGATCCTTCCGTCATCGTATGCAAAAAAATAAACGGTCCGATCCAGCTGTTGGATGAATCACGAACAGATGATTTCCCTTAGAATGGCTAGTATCGTTTGCTGTTGAGAGGAAAACGTGTTCCAGGTCAATTTAAGTAGTATTGTTGGAGAAATTAATCCCCCCCCCCCACAGAATCGCCGAGAAACCGCATCCCGAACAACAAGCCATTTCGGTTGTTATATACTTCTTTGAGGCACCGCTGTGCACATACAGGTTAGAGAGGAAGTATGGGAAGACATTTTATGATGTGGCCTAGGAGGGAATGCGCTGAAAAAATGGTATACTGTAAACAATCGGGCTTTCTGCATGAAAGTGCAGCCCATAAGAATCGCAGAGCATGCTGATTTTCGAAGAAATTGTGTTTTCAATTTCTTTATAGTGAAAATTGGAGATAACAAATTATAGTACTATAGAATACAGTGCCCCCCCCCCCCCCCCCCCCCCCCCCCC